ATTCAATTCTGATGAGAAACGCAGAGCCTAACCGTTTACCATTTTCTATCGAATCCATACAAGTTAGGTTCAAACCATCATGTATACCTATTCAGCGTGCAAATAAAGTAGGCATATTGACATGATGGGTAGAGGTAAGAATCAATTATCAACGAACAGTATAATGTAACTGCTTTAGATTCCTAATTTTTGTCACATTGATTCGTGACAAATTTACCCATTCGTTATGAAATAATTGTTCAAATGTGAACTTTTTAACTTGGACTTTCATTTAAGATCCAATATAGTTATCTTAATCATTTTTGCAAAATAAACACTAATGAAGTTACCATGGCTGAAGTTCATTTCGGTCTGCTCACAATAATAATATGGATGATTATGGAAATACTCAATATTGGTAAGTAAAGTGACTTAAGAAAAAGATTAAATTATAATTGACTGTTGATTGAGTTTTATTAATCATTATAAGATAGCAACAGGTAAACAAAACTTTTAATCCAATTAGTTAAATTGGACTTTGATTTTCATTCTGAATCCAAGATTTTTTTTTAAAGTTCTGACAAATGACAAGAAAGCGCTTGATTCGATTTAATCAAACATTCTGATGGCGAATACCATTACATCTCCAAGTCCATTGAGAAATTTCTTTATCGCTGGTTTTTTGTTCGGTCGTATACTTGATCATTGGATGGCGAAGATGAAGGTGATGATGAAGATGATGATGACTTTTTTGATGAATTTGGCATAGGTTTGAGTGAAGATCGAGTTGATTTAGATGTGGTACTGTAAGTAGATTTAGTGTTTGGTTTAGTCCATTTTCGTTTCATGTCCAGTTCAAGTTCCGACAGATGAGGAGGAAGTTTAGTCTCTGGATCAAGAAGCTTCGACTGGAGATAATTTTTATCAGTCTCTGTCAAAATGTCCGAGGCAAATGGACCTCGCATGAAGACCATCAAAGGCAATGTCAAGTAGCGAACTGAATAAATTGCATCACCAAGAAGAAGCATCTTATTGGTCCCATTGATCTCAATCAATTGTCGCTGACACTCACAGACCGACCATATTTCGATCCACGAGAATCATCACCGTCACCAACATTATTCGCTATCTTCACCATTCTCACAATCGATTAAATTGTTATTATAATCCTGTTGATTGTTACCAATGAGTTCGAGGCGACCTTTGAACGGTTGCTTCGTTTCTTATGTGTTGATTGGAAAGGTTTAAAATCAATCTTTCTCAATGAATCCAATATGATGAGAACATTAAATTCAGTTGAGTTTTTACACAGAAATTGCAAACAAATGCTGGTCAAGTCGGTCAACATGAATTTGATGGAAAGGTCGAGAAGAGCCAAACAACTCGTCACACTGTTCAAAATGATCTCTTTCTTGTAAATGTAGCTAATGGAGATTAAATAAGAAGAGGAAAAGATAATCATTAGAATTGATGATATTGGAAGACAAGAGATGATGAATACGAATTGACACCAACAATAATAATAAAGAAAAAGGTGAGAAACTGATCTTGGTTTTACATTTGATATTTGAAAAAAGTCTAAAAGTAACAGGAGATCATGGAAACAATTAAACTCACCTCATCAAATTATGTACTGTTTCAGGTCTGCATTGGATATTTTAAATGACACTGGTTATTGACGATGATCTGGTAACTCTTGGTTCACGAGAATCATCACCGTCACCAACATTATCTTCACCATTATCACTATCGATTAAATTGTTATTATAATCCTTGTTGATTGTTACCAATTAGTTCGAGGCGACCTTTGAACGTTTGCTTCGAACTAATGGTCAAATGTTCGGAAATCGGAAGACATCAATAGTTCAGATTAATAATATATCAAATAAATTATTTAGCAATCTTTTAAATACATCATCAATTCCTTACATTTGTGAACTTGTGAATTTTTGAACTATTAGGATTAGTGATTAGCTTTTTTTCTATTTGAATCAAATCCAAATAGTTGAGACAAATAAGTTACATAATATTAGTATTGGAATAATTTTTTCTGTTCTAATTATTTTATTATTATAATGAAAAAGAGATTTAACTTTTTTCTTCCTTTTTCTCTTCCTCATCTCTATTATTTCATTGATAAGGTTTCAGATGAGATCGACATTTACTGGGCTTCCCATGTTGCTTACTCAACTATGAGAAGATATTACCTTATTCTACCTTTAAAGATCAGACATCAGGTGAATTATAATTATTATTAAGGGTGATTGTTACAATAGAAAAGGTATTTTACTTCGAAAATCTAATTAGTTGAAGGACCTGTTTTAATCAAATATTTGTTTACATTTTCGCTATTAGTAAATCAAATTAATTTAGTCAGATATCTAATTTAATAAATTGTCCAATTTCAAAAAGAAACTAAATTCATCTAGTTAACCTTTTATTAATTTTCCAATTGCCAAATTTTTCTAATTTCCAATATTTAGTGTTAATTTTTCTTTTCATATGGATTAATTTTTCGCAAAATTTAATGCAAATAATCAACAATTATAATTTTATAATTAGTTTTTATATTTTATTCATTATTAACACTAAGAAGAAAAATATCCATTAATGCAAATTTTCACTATTTTAATTTCTTTAATAATAAATAATGATCTTTGATAGTATTTAGAGACATCCAACAACAATTAAATCAAATTGAATTCCATCAATAGCCAAAGTCCAATTGATGATTAATTAACATCAAGGCATGTACGATTTTCCATTAATAATAAAAACCAAATTACAATTTCCTTTTTCATTTTGCAAAATTAATGTTCTTTCAATAGTAATTTAGATATCAATTATCTGATTGGATAACATTAACAAATAAAATAAAATTAATTAATAAGAAATAATTTTTTCAGAGTTCATTTATGTAAAATTTTGGACAAAAATGGTCTCATTAAAGTGAACGAGTTGTTGCCTAGAAACAAATCAAAATGGCTGAGTGTTTCTCTGGTTGTTGAGGTTTTGGTTAACAATTGATCTTGTGTCTATTAGGTCCTTGGTGTTTGTTTGTTTTGTTTGTATAAAGAAGTACCATTATTATTCGCATCTTATATTTCTTATATTTAGAATATTTGACCCACATTATTGGTAAAAATGTCTTTTCCACCTCTCCAATCACTTTTTGTCAAATCTTTCAGCAATGGCATCTTAATGAATTTAACTCCTAATCAATATCAAATGACGCCAATGAGGTATAGTTTTTTTTTATAATTTTCTTCAAAATTAATAATCAATTAAATTTTTTTAATGGTTTTTATTTCCTTTCTTTCAATTTCAGGTGGTATCATGCAAATGCCTATGGTCCCTGGTTTACAAATTCCTCATGTAAGTTAAATTTATGATTTGATCATTGCCTCTGATTGGTGCTGGTTTTTTATTAATTTTTAATTTTTTAATTTATTTTTGTTATTTTGTTATTTTTTTTGTAGATGACCGCTTCTGCCCCACCCGGTGTAACAACCATTTCTGCACCACCAATGAGAAAAGTGACCCAGGATACACCTCCTATTCTTGGGGTAAATCAATTACCTATTACATCCCCATTCATTTTTCCGGTATGTGTGCATTTAGTAATTACCATTTAATTGTTTTTTTCTCTATCATCGAGAACATTAAATTTGTATTTCACATCAATCTAAGATTTAATTTTTAGTTATCATGCTTATCTAATCATTTATCGCTATTTCACTGATAAATTTATCTGCTAGTAATTAATAATTAATTACTTATTCACCGATTAATAAACCAATGATAAAATAATCGGAAATCGAATGACAGCAATAGTTAGATTATCAATATAACAATTAGGTATTTAAAATTCTTCATCAATGCAAACATTAATTATTTTAGATAATAATTATAAATAGTTACAATGAAGATAAAGAGAAATGAAAATGGTTTTCGAGAATGCAATTTTAGACTAACTACGTATTAGTATTATTTCAATTTAACTTTTATTTATTTTATCTTTTAATCTCTTTCTATTTATGGATTCTAGAAGCACCTCAGTATTTCAATACATTTATTTGACACTGATTAGGCTGCGTTGCACAAGCCAAATTGGTCAGAAATAAAATATTTAGCAATCTGTCTAATATATTTCTACAATTATTGGTAAAAATGTATAAAATAACTGGAATATGGAAATGGAATACTATCTAGTAAGTCTTAATTCAAGTCTAAACTTTGACAAAATATACATTTTCATCAATCTAAGCTGTATTTTTGATAACTAAGTATTATTCAATAATTAAAATTAAAATTAGCTAGTAATTAAAAATTATGCTATTTACCACCGATTAATTAACTAATAATCAAGAAATCGGAATATTCTAATAGTAAAGGTTTGCATTATAATAATTGAGTAATTGAAATTCTTTATCAAAACAAGCAGTAATTATTTTAGCTAATAATTATTAATAGATATAATGAAGATAATTAAAAATGATAATGATTTTGGAATATGCGTTCTTAGACTAACTACGTATTAGCTCTTGGTCCACGAGAATCATCACCGTCACCAACATTATCTTCGCTATCTTCACCATTCTCACAATCGATTAAATTGTTATTATAATCCTTGTTGATTGTTACCAATGAGTTCGAGGCGACCTTTGAACGGTTGCTTCGTTTCTTATGTGTTGATTGGAAAGGTTTAAAATCAATCTTTCTCAATGAATCCAATATGATGAGAACATTAAATTCAGTTGAGTTTTTACACAGAAATTGCAAACAAATACTGGTCAAGTCGGTCAACATGAATTTGATGGAAAGGTCGAGAAGAGCCAAACAACTCGTCACACTGTTCAAAATGATCTCTCTCTTTAACAACAAACAACAGAACTAACAATAACTTTTGATTTTTAAGAGTTATAAAGATGATAGAAATATTCCATGGTTAAATGAATAATTAAATAAGTAATATTTATTAAATAAGGTAAAGGTTTAGGAAAATAATAAGGTAAATCCTGTTCGTTGATACTCTTTCTTATTTATTTAGCACAATTTGTATTTCTCATCATACCAAATGCATGAATATGAAACAATTTCTCGTAATATGTATAGTCTTTACAATTGAAATAAGGTGCAAATCGAATTAAAAGAAATGTTGATTTTATATTTGATCAGTGTAAATCACTCAAACTGATTTACATCAACCGACGATATTAGACATCATTTTTTTGATGGGTGATAATAGTACATCAAGTTCAGCGTTTTTGATACCTCCAAGAACATCTTTCATCGCTGTTGAAACTGTATCAGTTGGAAAAAGTCCACTCATGAATGATAATGGTGATCGATGGCTCTCATCGTGAATATATTCTCCTAATAATGATCTGAACGGCTCTTTATTCAACATTTCATGATGGCATAATTTAGTTGCATCTAACGTTCCAAGAAAGAAAAGAAGTTCGAAAGAAAAAATAACGTCAATTCTACAATCCTATTGAATACCCGAAATCAAATGGAATATTTTTTATGAAAACTTACGACAAATGGCCGCAGTTGCTTTTTGGAGGGACGATTTAAGTGGGTTCATCAACGAGTCTACTGATCCAAAATTCAACGATGAGAGAGAATTCTCAAAGCTATCTGAGGATCCAAATTAATTTGATCACAATGCAGAGGGAAAGTTTAGATCATATTAACGAAAGCAAAGAATTAATTTCAAGCTAAATATCATAATTAAAATCGAATCGAAACAATTTCCTTACCTTGTTTGTGGCCAACACGAATTGTTGTACATTGGGCTCCATAGAAACACAAAAAAGTAACAATTAGTTGAAAAGTTTTCATCTTTTACTCTTGAATGGGCTTGATTGTTGTTAACTAATGATTTAATTATAAGGTGTTTGGTTAGGCTATGCTTTTAGTTGATTAGGTTTGATTTACAAGGAAATAAAAGTACAAAGTTGATCACAATCAATATTTTACCACCAACATTTGATTTACATTTTCACTTTCGATTTTCTCGAAAAAGTTAATCAACATTCAACTTTGATAATCAAAAAGTTAATCATATGGTTTAGAGTTACATTTTGATTAATTGAACGGTAATTTAGAAGACAAAAATAAAAAATCAATGTTAATTGTCAGTTGATTGAGGAAAACAATTTATTTCAGATCAATAGTTTTTTGTTATCATTGATGATTAAAGTGATTGCTACCGTTACTCAACAATTACAATTCAAACAAGCAATTAATCTACTAGTAGTTTAGTTTAATTGATTTGACAATATTAGAAAATTCATTCATTTAACATTCAAACTAATTATTGATATAATTAAAAGAAAACAGTAATTGAATTAAAAATTAAACCTAATGATTATATTGATATGATAAAAATATTGATTTGGTCAAAATTTAGACTCAATTGCAATTGTTGTTGTTTAATATTTAATCAATTTTAACCAGATTACATGAGTTGTAACAGTTAATTGGGAATTACAAAGATTTAGTAAATTAGATTGTCTTAACATTAATTAAATGATTAGTTCTTAATATTTTCAAGGGAAGACATAACTTCATCCATCCAAGTGTCATCGAGTATGTCACTTGATGATTGACTTGACGTTTTACTTTGCTGATTAGCACTTTGTTTATCCAACATAATCCTAATCATCTTATCCCCCATCAATTTGGCTACTTTTAAAGCGGAAGACGAAGCTTTGGTTTCCGGTTTCGATGGACAACAAACATAATCACTTGAAGAATAATCAGCTGATTGACATGAAGCCAAACTGATTATCGATCGTTCAACAGGATTAAAGTGACCTGATTGTGTACAGTGTGAACGAGGAATACAGTAATAATTGGATGGACAAGAGGACGAATATGAATCGATAGTTGACCTTTTAAATCGACTGTTCGAAAGGTTCTGTTCGTTGATTAAAGTCGGTGAACCTACGGAAAAAAATTGATGAGAAAAATGATTTCGAGTTAAAAATGAATAGAATTTTGTCTAAATAACTTTACTTACCGAAATTGAGTATTTCCATAATTAGTGATATTATTATTGTGATTAGACCAGAATAAACTTCAGCCATGTTAACTTAATTAGTGTTTAGTGTGTATTTTACAAAAACAATTAAGATAACTATATTGGATCTTAAATGAAAATCAACGTTCAATTTAATTAAAAGTTTTGTTTACCTGTTTCTATTTCATAATGATTAATAAAACTCAATCAACAGTTAATTATAATTTAATCTTTTTCCTGGTAGTGTGTTTGTTTTTTAATTTCTCAACCTTTGATTTAATGTCCAAACCAGAAAATTAACCATTCGATGATAACCAAAGGCTCCTAGAAAACGCATGAAACATAATAATAATCAACATTACAATTAACATAATTATTATCAAATTCGGTAGTAGAGATAATAAATCACTCTAATTATACCGGAAACTCATAAATTTACTTCAAATTAAATGTTAATTGTATTGTTAAGGTAGAAATACAATCAGTCGAAAAACATTAACACGTTCATATGAAATGAGGGAGAGATAAAATTACCAAACAATATAATCACTAGAGTAATTGGGAATTGGTATATTGTAACAAGAAAGAGATCCTCGTGTAAAAATTAATTGTAAATGATTAACTAATAACTGTGAACATAAAAAAATAATTTTCGATAAAATTAAAAACAAATACGAAAAGTTGCTAATTGTAAACACTAGATGGCAGCACGATTAGAATTTTAGTTCGCCATCAAAAAGTAAACAATGTTTACTTTTTGAAAGGTCAGTGACTTTGGATCATCATGATTAAAGTTAATTGTAATTGAGTTTTAAATTCTAATCGCAATTGATATGATAATCTAAGTCAAGGAAAATCCATGAAAGAAAATTATTGCAAGAATAAAATGAAGAATAAGAGAGAGAAAGACAAAAATTGTTCTCTTCTTTTTCCTTCCAATAACAATGGTAAAACCTTGTTCTTCATATGAAAGGGTAAGTTCAATTTCTATTCATTTTTCTCTTTATGTTCTATTAATTTTCTATCTTCCATCTATTTAATTTCTTTCTTCTTCTCCTTCTCTCTCCCCTAAACATTTAGAAAACCAAAGAAGAGAAAGTATTAAAAAAAAAGAGCCAAATGGAAAAGGCGGATCGTTAATAGACCGACAGTGTTGGAAAAAAGCATTGAGTTTATCATGTGAATTGTATCCAAAGTGTAATCAAGTCTAAATGGCTTAAGGAAAAGGGCTCAATGGATCAACCTGATCCCCAACAAGAACCACCTCCACCTACAACATCAATGTCAACAACATTATCATCTATTGAGAGGTATAACTTGAATCCATTAACTTTGGAATAACCAGAAAAAAAAGGTTAATGGTAAAGGATGAAAAGAGATGGAAACACATTTGTCTGTCTGTAATGTGAACGTTGAAAGATTCTGATTCTTGTAGTGCACAAAGTAAATTAACTTTAATTTACGCCTGAAAACTGACTGATTGTTAACCTGAGAACAGAGTAAATAATACTAACTAATAATCATGATAATCATGATATCATCATGATTATAACTAATAGATAACATTATTCCCAATCTAATCTTCTATCCGTCTATTATTTTCTCTCTCTCTCTCTCTCTCTCTCTTGGTTATTACCATTTACTTTTTTTCTGTGAATCTCGTTATTTCTGGTTATTTAAGTTACTAATTAACCTGACAATTTGTCTCTCATACTTTAGTTTATTTGTTAAACTTTCCAATCTGCTTGATTGTTTTAATTATCGTAATTACTGTAAGTATCAACTCTTTGGTTACTCAAGAATATAAGAAAAAGATCAACATGTAAACACATTACAATCATAATCTTTTTCTCATTCAGTAATTTTAATTATATACTTTCCAACAATTGACTAATTTTATTTTCTCTTTAACTGTAGATTTTTTTTTCGAGTAATTGAAATAACAACTTGGGAACATGATAATTAAGATAATGATGGATGACCTGTTATCCAGCAACTTTCAACAGAATCAAATTAATTTATTATCAATGAATTAACCAATAGCATCTTATATCTACTCATTTAATCAACATAAAATCGGATAGTAACATTTTCGTGATCAATGGGAAAATAATCTAATTGTCAATGAAACAGTTCACTTTGTATTATTTATGGTACAACTTAATTTTCTCAATCAACAACAACAAATCTTAATTGTAATTCTCATCTTATTATTACTATTTTTTTCACAGATTGTCACTGATTGAGTAGCACCTTTAGTTACATTGTACTCACAATTTGGTTTTGATTGTGTGGCCATTGATTAAATCGGATTCCTATTAATAGATATATTGTATTACTACTTGGATTTGATTGTTAAAATGGTTCACATCAATTGATGAAACAAATTAAGGTTACCTGGTGTAACTGAATTGGATGCGAAAATGTTATCATTTCTGGAAGACACGCAAACAAATGGTATTCAATTGAATATCAAATTTAATCAACATTATCATGATAATCATTTTTCATCCATCATCTTGATCGTCACTATTATTATCATCAACGTTAACCAGAATGTAAGAAGAGATGAAAAAAAGTTCACCTTATCGTTGATTTAAATATGAAAAACAGTTACCATGCCTCAAAGTAAATTGATTGAGACTTTCTCATCTCTTAATCTTCATTATCATCATGGTAATCAACAAAATCATCACTGTCATAATCATCACGCTGATTTACAACTTAAATGTTTAAGGTGATGAATAAATCAAGAAAAAATTGATTCTGTTCATTTGGTTTTCAATTTTATGTCTTTCAAAATTTTCTCACCTTAATCTCAACTTCTCGATCCAATGTTGAGTTAATTTCATGGTCATTTAAATCACCAAATCAGGTTGTTACCAATCAAAATGATATATAATTGACCTCATGTCAATAAATAGTAACAATTAAGAAACTTAATACAATTTACTATAACATTGTAATCAAATGATAACTTCATTGGTCAAAAGAAAATCTTAAATGAAACAGTTAATCATTTGACATGATTGCTAAAAGAAATTGATTGTCCTCTCTCCACTAATAGATTTAATTGTTATAATTTGAACATAAATTATGATGAATGATGAGCTAAATTTAAATGAACATTGAAAATGATGAATCGTCAAAATGATTTGATTCTAATTAATATTTATCTTCAAATGTTTATCTCTCTTATAAATCTTAATCATCATGATTAACGTCAAACTGTGATGATAAGCTGATTGTTTTTAATTCTCGAATCAATTAATCTATTTCTCATCAAATCAACAATTGTCAACATTTCAATGGTCAACAATCAACGACAACACAAGATTTTTTTTTTCGCATTCTAATTGTTTACAATTGAAGTTTGAAATCGATGGAGACACAATTTAATCAAAGTAAACAATTTAAAGTCCGATCTTGAAGTGACCATTAACAACATATCGTTAATGGTCATCTCTCTCTCTCTCTCTCTCTAACTTTTTTTATTGCTCTTCTTTTATTATTATCTTCAGTTGACTGAACATAATCTGTCAATCATTTTTATCATTACAATTATTTGTGGTCATTGATTTCAATCATCACTGGTCATCATTAGCAACAAAAAAAGCTCCATCATCAGTTGAATTAACTTTCTATTGACAAGAAAGTTGAAAATGAATCAACAATCTTAATGGTACCGACTAAGATTAGAAGAGAAATTAAATCAAATTAAATCTAATTGTCTACTCTTGAGATGACCAGCAAATTCGTGATTCAGTGAATTATGACCTTAATTCTAATCTAAATCAACTAAATAGTGACAACAGTAAATCTTAATCAACAAACCCCAAGTAGACAAATTAACTTTCAGTTGACCAGTCACGAAAAATTCAAGTCACAATTTTGGTTGGAAAAAAAAATAATCCAAAGTTAATCCAATTTGAAGATAACAATTTATTTCGGTTAACTAAATTGTTACATCAATTCTTGATTTACATTCAATTTATGTTTTTTTCTGATTTACATCACAATTGAAATTACGAGAAAATCATTCATCCAAAATTCACCATCATCATCACCATGATTACTCATATTTACCTGTAATTATTTCACAACAATTGAAATGAAAAATTGAAAAACATTCATTAGTATTTACCAAAGATTCTGATTCTTGATGATCAATATTATAATATTTCAACGTTAATTGTTGTTGATTTATAACAATTGAAAGTGATTGTCCTTTAATCAATTCAAGGACAATTGTGATTATATTACCTGATTCCTTACGCTTTTCATTATCAACACTAATCATTTTCAGCTCTCCTAAGGTGATGATGAATATTGAGATGAATGAAAAAAACGCACCGAGACTCTGAATATTCATGGTTCAGGAATACACTCAACTCACAGGAAAAATATCATTATTATGATTATGATTTATATCTTTGTCATCATATTATTATCATAATAATATGAATCATGTATGATTTTTGATTGCTTGATTACCGAAGCAGTTAATGTTTATCTTCACTCAATTGAAACAGTTTGTTGTTGTTACTATTATTTCATATATCTACTCACCTTCAGGTTTTTTTCGGGTATTTATCATCCTCATCCTTTTTGCTTCCTTTTCATTATTAACAAAATTATCTAGAGAGAGAGAGAGAGAGAGAGAGAGAGAGAGAGAGAGAGAGATCAGAGATAAATCAACAAATAGAAATGTGAAAATTTAAACAATCAGAAAAACAAGAAGAAACTAAATTGTAACAATTATGATTTTCGGGGAAAAAGATTAACAAGATTAAGAGATGAGATTAAATTGCTAGAGAAAAGCAAAAGAAATCACATTTTCTATTGCTTTTTATCAGAATTTTTCTGGTTATTTAGTAACTTGAATTTGGTTTGTTCCTTACTGTTCATTTGATTTGAGTCTTTGTTTGATTATTTGTTTCTTGATTTAACCTTTGATTATGATTTATCAACCGTGGGAGCAATCAATCAATTGGCAATCAACTAATCATCATTAACTTGTAAGATAAGGTAACAATTAACCCTATCATCACATTGTTACAATTTATTGTTACTCTTTTTTTGTAAAGATCGCCCATTGTTAAAGGATAACCTTTGGTGTGGATTTGATGGTTTTGTGGATTCATCCCTCTGGCTAAGAATCAGCAATTAATCAATCAAATTGTTAAGTTAATTGTGAAATCAACCTTTTTTTATAACTCAACAGCAATTAACTGGTCAGAATTTTAGTACTTTAGTAAATATTGATTAGATGGACTTTACTTACACTGAAAACAACTTGATGACACCAATCCAATGGATTGATGGTCATTTTTCAATCAATACAAATAAATCAATTCAACTAATCAATCAAATTGGTCAATTTGATAATAAGCAACAATCAATTTAAAGTTAGAATCATTCTTATATCTGGACAAAAGTTTATCTCTCTCTCTCTCTTCCGTAAGTGTTGATGGTCAAGCGAAAAGGCTGAAAATAGTAGTTTAAATTGTTAGATTAATTTAAATATAGAATGAAAAAGATCCCCAGACAATTAAATAGCAACGAACTGGACAATTATAATAGAAACCAAATGATTCTGATAATGATCATGATGATGTCGTAATAAGATACATGGTGAAGGTATGAAACTCTTAAGGAAATGTCGCTTTAAATTGTTGAAGGAGGAAGAAAATTAAAATAATTACAATAAACAAAAGAGGTTAATGATAAATGTTATGTGATATTAAATAAAACCCTCACTTGATTGTCAACCTTTTCCGTTTCTTAATTAGAGGTCATTTTGTTTTCTGGTTACCTATTATCGCTTTAACCTTACCCAATGTTATGACCCTTTGTCCGTGAAAAAAAACTATCCAGTAACAATTATCATCTATCATAAGAAGATGATAAAGATCAACGCCCTTCGTTAGTTATTATGATTATTATTTAACCGGAAAAGGTAAGAAAATGACCTTAGCCCAACAGACCGGAAGGGTGATCCTTAAACTTAAACTTCTCCTAGTTTCTTGTCAAGTTAATCATTTCAGTTGATTATTAGCTAATTTAGTTTGCTGTGTTGACCAACAATCAACAATCATGTTTACTTACATTAAGATTATCATAAATCAAGATGCGTTATATTGTAATATCATGATCGTCACAATTAAATCAATTAAAGCAGAAAAAAAGTTGATTAGTAGCAACATTTCAATGTATTGAAAGTTAATTGCTTCTTTTAATTATCATGAAAATTTGTATCATTTGGAACTTTGAACAAATTGTTTGGAGGAAATTAAGTTTTTCTGATCATTCGGTCTATCGTTTTACTTGAAAATGTTGATTAACTTAAATTGCTGTGAATTGTTAATCATAATCTGAATCAACTATCAAATTTTAACTAACCTTGAAATTTAAATAAATTAACTCAGTTTGAAATCATCAAGATATTGATTAGCTAATCAATATAATCAATTTAAAATGAAAAAAAAAACAGGAAATTATATTAAATATATTGATTGTTATTCACAATTTAAAAATAATTCACCAATAATATGATGATTACAATATCATGATAATCAAATCCATTCATTTACAATTAACAAATATTCAGCAAATTGTAATTACAATTTGATAATCAAACAATTTACTGTTCCTTAATCATAAAGCAATTCCTGATTTGGTATAATATTGATTTAAATTAATTGTTACTTTATATTATTCTCAATTCTGTTGATTAACCAGAATGGATTGATGGGGAATTAGTTAATCACAATTTAAGCCGGAACTTAATTCATAATCCACTATTCAAATGAATGGAATATAAACTTTAATTAGTCAATTAAATCCAATCATCTTTTAATTCTTACAATTTAAATGTTGATTCAAATATTTCAAAACTAATACAGAAACCAAGCTGAATAAATTAATGGAAAAGTTAATTGTTACATTTTAAATTGTAATTTACTATTAATCCATAGCTAATCATAATCTCACATTTACACTTTGTCTTAACAATTATTTTCTCATTCATTACGATTTCAATTCAACTGATTAATTAATCATTTCACGTAACAACATAATCAACTTTAATTCCTTAAATCATATCAACAGTATTATTCTGATTATGATTAAAAAAAAACAATCAAAACTTTGTTATTAATTAATTGTAAGTGTGATGATCCTCAACAATTTCAGTCGATTTGATTTCAACTGTTAACTTGTAACAGTTAATTGTCAACTTGAAGATGAAGATAAATTGTCATTAATTTAATTTCTCTTTTCTAATTAATTTAATTCCATGCAATTTACTCATTATACGATTAATTTAAGGTTCCCAAGGTTCATTAAAACCAATGATAATCATTTATGTTAATTACAATGATACACACAATTTACTAACTATTCACACTAGTAATTAATAACAATGAATAATAATACGATGATAATTGACAATTACAAAGTATCATTATTGTTAATCATGATGATTTTTGATTCTTCATCATATCTTTACATTTAAATTGTTAACAATTCAACAAAATGAAACAGAAACCAAAATACAATTAAAACTGTATCTTAAATTGATTACTATTTGATCAAATTTGGTGTAAATTCATAATCAACATGTTTTATTATTGTATTAATATTATTAACATGAACTAAAAAACAAAATGGTAACAATCAAGAACTAAATTAAAATAAAATTCAGATCAAGTGAATTTAAATCAAGAGGCCAATACCTTTATTCAAATACAACAACGTGATTTA